GCTATAATGCAACCTAAATTATAAAAATAAACAAACAATTATTTCTTTTACAACTTAAAAAACCTTCCATAGAAAATTGTTTAAGCTTATTCAATAATCTATTAAATTTTAGGTCGACTTCTTGATAAAATAATTTTATTATCTTTGAAAATCTCTTTCAGTTTTCATTTACTGTTTGTTTTCATCGTGTATTAACAAATGAAATATCAATACGTATATTTGGATAATGAGTCACTACAAAAGGTATAATCTTTTTAGGCTTACAAATCTCTCTATTGAAATGTTTTTTTAAAAATAAAAACGTTATCTTTAACATATGAAATATCAATACGAATATTTGGACAAAAGGTATAATCTTTTTAGGCTTACAAATCTCTATGTAAATGCCTTTTTAAATAAAAAAGTTATCCTTAACAATCTTAAAACCTCATAATATAACATTTTTTGGATACTGGCGCCGAATTAAAAACTGTTTTAGCTCAATTAATCTATTAACTCCTGTTTTTTCATTGACAATTAAACGTTATAAGCAAAATTTACTGGAATATTAATTTTTATGTTTTTGGGATTATTACTAAACAATTTACATACTGGTGTGAGTTTACAGGTTTGTAAAAAGTAACAGTTACGATCTTTTATTTCTTTTGGGTGAAATGCTTACCAACACATCTAACAAAGAATAGACCATTCTTATTTCTTTCAAAGGTAAATAAAATCTCTTAATTTATCAAATTTAAAATCCCAACAAACGTATTAATATCCTGAGTATCCTTCCATATCACATAACCAACGTCTAGGAATCGCTTTCAAATTTGTTTTCGCGAAAACTACAAAATTATCTTTCAAATAATTAGAAAATATCTCAAATAATTGTACTTTATAAAAGCTTATACGATTTTAGCGCAAGTAGGAGCGACGTTTGTACCCATTGCTGTACCAGAAATTTGATGAAAAGCAATTTTTAATACTACATTTAACCCCTTTAAGATAAAACTGTTATTAACCCTAGAATTAATTAATTTCTCGTATTAACTAAGAAAAATGTTCACTACTTTAACTCCATAATCATGACCAGTACTTGGATACAAAACAAAAGAAACAAAACTCTGATTTCCTTCTAATTTTTTGGTAATTTCTCAACAAATTCAAAACCATATCTAACAGTAATTCCCTAGATGGAACAACGGCAAGCTTACAGATTTATAACGCTAAAATCCGTGGTTTGATTCCCTGGGTGGCCACTGCAGATATCCAGTTGTGAGATTGTTATAAAATAAACACAAACAAACAAACACACTCATACCAAATAATAATAGGAATACGAGACGAAAAAGGTTTTAGCAATATGTCAAAAAGATCAACTAAATATTTAATGATTGTTTTAATTCTTTCCCTCATTTGGTCTTCCTTAATTAAATTCTAGGAATTGTGCAACGGTAAAATCTGTAGGAATTAGAAAAGGAAAATAAAATAAATAAGAGAGTATTTGGTATTAAATTGTTTAAGATTATGTAGCTAAACTTCTATAACATCAGGATAATGTATAATTGAAATAAAATTGTAAATCAAAAGAAAAATGATTAAGGAGTAGAAAAGAACGGTTTGTTTGTTGTTTTAGTGCAAGGCAACACAACCTGCATTCTGTTCACCGCCACACCAAACATGCTCGCCCTTTCAGCCGTGGAGTGTTATAATGTTACGGTCAATCCCACTATTCGTTGGTAAAAGAGTAGCCCAAGAGTTGGCGGTGGGTGGTGATGACTAGCTGCCTTCCCTCTAGTCTTACACTGCTAAATTAGGGACGGCTAGCGCAGATAGCACTCGTGTAGCTTTGCGCAAAATTCAAAACAAACAAACAAACTGTTCACCGCGAGAAGTCAAACTCTGGATTTTAGCGTTATAAACCCATAAACTTACCACTGATCCACTAGGAGACAGAATAGAAGAGAAACTATCTTTTATAAGCTTAACGTAATTTAATTTTGAGTATATTTGAATGTATTTGATTTATAGAAGGATTGTATTTTATGTTCGTACATTTTGAAAAATACGTATTTAATTCAGGTTATTTATGTTTAGTTAAAAAAAATGATATTTGAATGTCTTTGTTATACATTGATTAGCTGACCCTCACAAAAACTGAACAACCACTTCTAAAACAAATTGCACAATAATAGTTTAAATCGGGGGTAACAGAAATGGCACAAGTAGAAATTTCCCTTTAGGACTTTTTTTCAACGGATTATTGTGATTCATATATAATCAATAATAACTAGATGTACTTGCGCAGGGTCCCCAAAAGTGTTCTGTTTCAAGAGTAAATAAAACCAAAATTGAGAACAATAAATATTTATATTTCTTGCTTTTGAGGTTTATATGTCATGCTGGGTTGCAGCCTACAGAGTGCAAAATTGTTCTCGTGATTCAGGCATGCGCACGTTTTACTGACATTACAACAGTACAAATTGCAACGTTAAACGACCCTTATGTGACGTCATTTTAGTGTCTACTGACCGACTGATGGACATCACATTACTGTATAGTGGTGCGAATAGTTAAAACAGGTGAACCCTCATGACAGCTTTCGGATCCCTTTCGGTGGTATAAAACAATATCATCTACCCCTAACTCTTGGGCAACTCTAATCGAATAGTGGGATTGACCGTCAGATTATAACGCTCCCACGACTGAAAGGGCGAGCATGTTCCTTGATGAGATTCGAACCCGCAACTAGCAAATGGTGAGTCGAGTGTCTAAGAAAACAGAAGCAAACATAAATTGAAGATCAGATGATTTTGAATTGAGAGACTAGAGGGAAGGCAGCTAGTTAACAGCACACGCCGTCAGTTCTTTGGCTACCCTTGACCGACCGATCAGTGTAATTTAAGCGTCACTCTAATAGTGCGCCCACAACCCCAAAGTGCGGAGCGCGTTTCTGCGATATTGGGACACAATTATGAATCCTCCACAGTTCAGGTACGCCGACCACTATCCGCGCCTTGCTCCATGTATATATTAGAAAATATATTTTATACGGCGCTAACTAACGCTCAAGGATGTCAGTAACCTTCTGTAAACACAAATAATAATAAGAATAAAACAAGGAAAAAAATACATCTTGGCTATCATAACAACACGGATTAGTTTGTCCTAAAAACAAAAAATGCACCAATAACAATATACCATTCTGTGAGAAAAAAATATAGGAAAAATGCTTTGCATATGAAATGTAACCTTATTAAATCGTTGCCTAGGGCTTAAGAGCTTAGGCGCTGTTGTTGCTCTATTTTTTTAACTAATTTAGTCAACACCTTTACGCTGCGGTAAAAAGTGAATTTTCAGTCACTCTAGGCTCTTTATTCCTTCGGGTGATAAGAAGAAAAACTGAAGAAAGTAAAAATACTTCTTATTTTTGTTTGAGAAAAACAAATATAAGAAGACGGGATATTCGCAGAAGTCTGACTCTGAAGCGTGGCTTGCAAATATTAAAAGTAAAATTGTATGTAATTATGATTTAATTGCTGACGTTTGCCTATTAGTTAGCTTGCCGGACTGCGGATACCAAGATTCACGGTTTACGTCCCGTCGTTGGAAAATTGCGAACCGCACGTTGGGGCTGGAGGTACGTTATAATGGTGACGGTCAAATCTCATTATTCAATTAGAGTATCTCAAGAGTTGACGGTGGGTGGTGCTGTGTAGCTGTCTTCTCTATAGTCTTTCAGTTTAAAAGTAAGATTAGAATCAGACTCAAATAGCTTTGCGCGAATATCCAAAGGAAAGAATAATTCATAACGGTGTTTAACGACATGTTTGGTGATATCTGATCCATCGTCGTGTGTTAAACTAAAGTTTTTATTGCCACTCTTAACTTTTTAATTAAAGTAATTTTATAAAAGTTTAAATTCATAGTTACTAATATTCTTTTTCTTCATTTCACTGTTCTGTAACGCACTTTGAAAGAAAGACACTTATTTTATAAATTGCCAATGAGAAAAAACGCTTTATAAAGATAAATTGAAATTATTTGGAGTTCAAAAAGCTCGAATTAAAGTCGACCTGGTCTAAGAACTTGGCATAGGAACTTTAGCGTTTTTTTTTTTTTTCTTAAATTAATGAGGTATATAAATGCTTTGATTGTGAACCTTTGCCTAAATGCATATATATATAAGAGATGGTTGTCCAGAATATTAAAGTTTATAAAGAACTCATCTATTAAAAGGAAGAGTCTGGGCTCAGCTATAGTGTGTAGTTTTCTAAACATTGTCGTTCAGTTTTTATACTTGACGCAGAGCAATGAGATATAGCGACCAGTCATAAGTTACAGTTTTTCAGTTAATTAATCGACTTACGAATAATATCCTGATATCTCAAGCAGGTTATGCAGGAACTTGCTGAGCATTTGTTAATTAACAAAATGTTTAGTGAGCCTCCTAAAGTTACAAAAACTGATTGATTACATTACTTAAGTGAAAGTCACAGTAACTCATTTCGTTAATTTCTGAAAAATACATCTCAGAAAACACTCGCATGTATTCACAAGAACTACAACGAACATTGTAATGTATATTATTAAAAACAACCTGTAGAAAGTATCTAATGTACAGCATATAGAGGCAGAGGAATCATTATCAAATGCAAACGGTAGTTGATTAATTCGAATGAAATGTCAACTGAGAAAAACTTGACGAGAGTACAGATTCCATTGTTGCTGTAGTACTTTAGCTAACTGTATGATTTATGATCAACGAACTTTAGAAGAAAAAGTGATCTTTTAATGTGTATTCATATTCAAAATTGCATATAAACACGACAGTGGTGGGTACAATCATATATATGACACATTTCTTGACTTTTCTCAATTCCTAACTTTATATTCGGTATCTTATTGTTAAAAATGTTGACATTTTATCAGATTTTATCTGTGTTTTACTCAGAAATTGTATTCAGTTATAATAAAAAGTTACGTGAATATAAAACAAAATGTAACATGATTGATCTTTGTTCCCCCTCCCCTCCAAGAAACGTAGTTCTCAGTGGCCAATGGTATTACCTCATTCTCTGTATATTGATGGCATTGCAAACTTTATCAACTATCCTCGCTCCTTGATTCGTATTCTACATCGTCGAGTAATAGGTAAGCTTATATAACGTTATATATACATATATATTATATGTGGGTATGAATAAGCATCACTAGTAAAAAAGTCTATACATTACCCAATTTGGAACTCAGTTTAAGTAAATTATGATTTTCCTTCTTGTTGACAATTTTTAAATAATGAAATAATAAGAAAAACAAACAGACGTTTCATTACAAATTCAGTGTTTAGGTAATATTTCAACTTGAACCTAAAAGGAACTCTTGGCATAGAACGTGCTAACGTGAGTAGTTTGAATGATATAAAGTCGCTTTAGGTAAAAAATATTAAACTTTGTCATTATAACAAAATATTCAATGATACCGATCATGTGAAGAATTCAACTTTAGCACCAAAACGCGCCCACAGAAAGAGATTATTGTGTTAGTTAACTTTTCAGAAGCTGACAGTCAATATCAAATATCTATATTCTAGAATATACAAAATTAAATAGCTTTACTATTGTTCTATAACAGCCTCTGAGTGTTTAGTGGCATATTGATAAACTAGCAATAAACGGTGTTTAGAGACTAATATCATGTGTCTTCTCTTCATATTGTTGATATGCACTGGTGTTTGGTTATATTAAGGTACCAGGTTAAATATAGTGATATGAAAAGCCTACATTTTATATTCTGAAATATGAAATTCAACAAATGTTGCAAAACATATATTTGAGACAAATATTACCTATTTATATATAAAGCACAAAAATATGTGTGTGTGTCTATCTGTTTGTCTCTTATCTAGCTACTCCTAGGTCACCGGGCCAATTTTAACCAAACTATGTGGGATAGTCTGGAACAATGGGCATGCTATTGGAGGATTCACAACCCATCCCACCCCCATTATTGCTGTTATTGAGCGTTCATTACCCTTAACGTAAAGTTAACGTTAACTACATTCATATATAGCGCCATGTTCTTACACCGAACAAACAAACAAAAAATTTGTTAAATTTTCCGTCCATCGGCGGGAAAGCGGTAAGTCTTCGGATTTACAACGCTAAAACCAGGGTTTCGATTCCCTCGGTGGACACAGCAGATAGCTCGATGTAACTTTTCTATAAGAAAACGCACACAGATATTAAATTTTCTATAACGCAACATACACACAGTGTGGGGGAGGGCACACAAACATCTCGTATATATCAAAAAGTGCTCTAGTACTCTGTGTGGAGGAATGCAATGAAAAAACAAAATGGCCGCAACTATTGGAATAATACATAAACTCAGATGAAGTTGATACGACAACAGCCACCATAACGCTGATATAAAGAGCAGCTTCTTGAGTTACACCAGTTCGAACTTTGACCCGTGACCTTACAACTTCATTCCATAAGACCGTCAATTAATTAATAACGTGAAAAAGTGTTTAATGACATTAAGAAGTGGATGTTGAAAGCGGGTAACAGAAAGAATCCCCGCAGCTATTACTTAGAAGAGGCCGATACCTCTTTGTAAAAATCACCCTGATCATCACACCGTGTATACCACGTTTTAACTATATACATATTGAGTTCTTAAAAACTTTTGGTGAAATAATAATGAATACTGTAATAATATATTATGTTATAAATAATTTGTGCGAAAGTTCGGATTTTGGGAATATTTATCATAGCATCCAGCCCCACATTTTTTTTTGTAGTTAGTAGCCCAGACAAAAGACGGGAACGTCAGCTTGCATATATATCATTTACAAGTTTGTAAGAAATAGGTTAATTGGTGTAGTATGTACATGTGAGCCCAAAACTGTATAGTATAAATAGTATTACTATATTACTGTTTTAATTAATATATCATAACACTAATAAGTAATACACTGATGTTTCCAAAACGCTTGTGTTAACTTTTAAAATATTTCTGTCATGTTTAAGGAAACGTTTACATTCCGGCGTTATGGAACGCTATGCCACTCAAATGTGACGAAATATTTCCAGTGGTTGTTTTTTCCCACGGTTTGGGGGGCTGCCGAACGTCATATTCCACAATAGCTCTAGAATTAGCCTCTCAAGGATACATAGTAGCTTGTTTGGAACACAGGTAAGTTGTTATGTTTTAGACTATAGATTGGACCTATATTTTTGTTTGTTAATGAAATATGTTCCAATCACAGATAAAAATGACAAGTTTTTAAAAAGTTCATAAACACTAGTCATGCGTATAAATGACATACATAACAGAAAGAAAACTTTAAAGTATTGAAAGTGAAAAAATTTACAAGATAAAATTGTGTGATGATTTTTTCCCCGTGTTTGTGTGTATATAGTATTTCTTATCTAATTCTATGTATTCGTGGTACTTTATCATATTTTTTCATGGTATGTTGCAAAGTTTAACAATCTATGAATAATTTGCACAATACTATCGACCAGAACTATTTTAGCCCAAAAATGTGCAAATAAAATTATTTGAGTGATTCACAGTTCATGAAAAAAAATTCAATAATTATCTAAAATACTCCCAATTATTCGAAGTGAAAAATTAATTTAGGTAATATAAAACAAGTACGTCTTCAGCTTTTCTCATAACGCAGTAAGACCTCTAGGCTTCATGATGTCCAATATACCTGTATCGTTTTGTAATTTCTGGATAAGAAAATAACAACAATTCTTTGTAAGTCGTTTATATACTAGTGTCTGTAGGTGAATAATAATATAATATAATAATTTCAAACATCAGTCCTACTACATTATTTTATGTTCTTACAAAGGACACAATAATAGCACTAATTAATGATTAAGTTCAATTACATAAAAAGTTATGAAATTAAAGATTAGAATAGTATAATGATTAAAGATTCACAAAATCAGTTTATAAAGATGATAATTGGCTTATATATTTATTTTCAGTTACAGCTAAGACGATGTATATATATA